CATGTAGATAAATTTGACAATTATTATCAAAATAACCAAGGCACAAACTCTTTGACATAGCAATTCCACTTTTAAGTTTCTTTTGTAGAGACACCCGCACATTTACAAAAGGACATATACACAAAGATATTTGTTTCAGCACTGTTTGCAATGGCAGAAGTCAAGTAGGGACTAAATTATTAGTTTCATTCAATGAAGCACTACAAAAGTTTAAAATGATAAAGGAAACTATATAGTGATATAAAATGATCTAAGATATGTTTTTAGGTGAAAAAAGCAAGGCATGAAACTGTGTATATAGGTCACAGTCATTTGTATAAAAAAAAAAAGACAAGAATAATGCTTACTTATGCATAGAACACCTCAAGAAGTACAGTGGGGCTCAGGGATCCGTGTGGGCGGGAGTCCTCTTTCTACATATTCTTTTGTACTGTTTGAATTTTGAGTTCTATTAATGTATTTCCTATTAAAATATGAAATTAAAACAAACAAAAGGAATTGTGTGTGTGGGGTGCCTTTGCTTTCAGTTTCCATTCATTCCTCAACACACTGAAGCTGACTTCCCTGGCATGCCACGAAAATTCCTTTTGTTAAGGTCACTAGGTTGCTGTTTCCAATGGTCGCTTTTCGAGTTTCATTTTACCAAACTTCTGAGTAGCATTAGACCCAACTTACTATTTTTCCTCTTGAAATATTCTCTGTTCTGGGGTTCCATGATAGCACCATCTCTTGGCTGTCTTACATCTCTGTTCCTTCTCATTCTCTGTTGAAAACGTTACAATCCTCTGACATTGGTTCCAGGTACTCTCTCCTGTCTACATTCTCTCCCTAGGTGAGCTCATCTATTTTCACTGTTTAAATATCATCTGTACACAGATATGTTGCTTTCACAACAGGCTTTTTTTGTTTTCTGAAGAAAACCAAGTTTGTGTTGTAAAAGCAGGGCTATTTGCTTTCTTCCATCTCATTACATTTCCCCACCTCTTTGGTACTTGAGCTGCCAGAATCTGAAGAGTAATCATTGCATCTTTCAACTACCCTACTCCGCACACCTCTCTGACCACATTGAATCCATTAACAAGTCCCATTGTTTCTACTTCCAAAATATATCTAAACTTCATGCACTCTCTGTGTCTTCATTGCCACCATCATAGTCCAGCCAACTCTTTTTTGAACTATTGCAAAACTCTTCCCATACTTCTTTCCACTTGAGTTCTTGCTACCCCACACCTTGAACAACTGTTTCCCATGCAGCAGCCAGAGTACTTTTTCTTTCAAAGACTTAGATCAGATCATGTTATACCCTTGTGCAATGGCTCCCATTTCACTTAGCAGTACACCTTAGCACAGCCTGCAACATGTATGAACCAGACCTTCCTAACTCTTCAACCTCATTTTCTGTAGCTTTCCCCCCAGCTGATCACACTGGCCCACTTTAAGTTCCTGGAATACGGCAATCTCTTTCCCACCTCAGGACCTTTGTACATGCTGTTCCTTCCACTTGGGAAGTTTTTATTTTTGCTTTTTCTCATGTTCGATTTTTTTATCTAACACCTCTTAGCTCAAATCTCTCTCCTTCAAAGAGGCCTTTTCTGGCAACTGGCAACTATGTATAGAACTGGCCTTCTCCAGATGTTTGCTACTATAGCCCTATGATATCCTATCTAACCACTCTGTTTTTGAGTTCTTTTGAGGTTCTGTGGTGTTTTTCAGCAGGTTAAAGGTCATGACTATTTGACTATAGAAATGGTGAGAGAACAGAGAATAATGTGTGCTTCGTTATCAGCAAGGGATAAGAGAGTGTACATCATTTGTAAACTATATGTGCAGTAAAAGAGACGAGAACAAACTCAGAAAGGGACTAATGATTATTATCCCGGCCCAAGGGAATTGGCAGATGGGGGAATAATATCCTTTGAGAGAAACAGGCATCCATTTACCATCTTGCAATCCCCAAAGATACCTAATTACCTCCAGCAGCAACATTCATTACAGTTTAAATACGGCATGTTGCTTTAGATTTTGAGCACAGTTAGGACTGTAAGAGGTCTTTAGAGTGTGTCCAGTGTATCTTTCCTTTTTCTAAAAAGCTCATTAAGAACTGGAGAGGTTCAATGATCTGCCCAAGGTCATCCCACTACTGAATGGACTTGCTGAGATTTAGAATTCATACAGCCTGCCTTCTGCTCTGGGGGGTTTCCACTACGCCCTGTTAATAATCAAGCTTTGAATTCCTAAAGGCAAAGGAGCCTGAGAACTGTATGGATCCAATGAAGCCTTTAAAACATATTTTTTTTCCTAGCAATGTCTGAAATAGGAGCACATCAGATTTCTTTTTGTCTATGGTTTTTAACATGCAGGCTTTTCATTTTCTTTCTAGATAAAACAACTTTACAAATATAAGGAAAGTGATCATTTAAAAATGAGAAAATAGAGATCATTAAAAATGATAAAAATTATCCATATCATTTCCCCTCATGCCCTGGATTATGGCATTTTGGTGTCATATTTGATCTTATTAAAAATGACTCAAAACAAGAGAATTGTCTTTAATCTTGAGTCTCTGATCCTGCTATCAAGTAGAGTCGAGAGTGGGCACAAGTTTCTCATCTCCATAAGTTTCCCTGGAAGATATGATAAGGTAGGACAACAAAGGTATACATTTTGGGCATAAATGCTTTTTAAGTTTTTATTTGTTTTAAGACATCTTCAATGAGACCTCAAATGCTTTCATTGGAATGTATGAAGTAGGTGGAAAATCAATTAAAATACCTCTAGTTCTCTGAACATACTAATCCTGCCTTCAGTAATTTGCCTCATTTGATGTCAGCCCCATGAAACGGATGTGTGGGTGGGGTGCTATGGTTTCTTTTTTTTTCTTTTGTTGTTGCTGTTATTTTTTTCCCTAAGCACAAACACATTTTCTTTGCCTAGGATCCAAGTTAGAAGCTTGTAGGGGAGGGGCCCGCTGACATGTGATGCTGAAGTGTGTGTGGGTGCTGTCCCAGGTGGTTACCAATGAATTAGAATTTCAAAGAAGGAAGGGATGACAAAAAATAATTCCCGCTCTATTTCAGCAAGTTGAAGACACCAACATGTTTTTAAAATATACTCCATGGCGACTATATTAAAATCATATTACTTCTCTAATACACTTTGGAACCAATGAAGAGGAAAATAATTACTTGAGGTGCCTTAGTGTGAAGTCACTGGAAATATCAGGCCTTCCCTCCTCACATCATTGCATTGAAATCTTCAAACATTGAACTTAAGATAAATGCCCTGCTCCCTTTGTGGTTAAACAGAACTTTTTTTGAGTGTAAACTTTGTAATCAGATAGCTCCGACTGTGAACTGTCCATTTTTGGGCAAGTTATTTATCTACAGGAGCCCCACATTTCTCTCATAGTCTGACGGGGAAAATTAAGTGAAACAGTTAGGCAAATAGTTTTGCACGGGTTCTTGGGTTCAACAAATATTTCCTGCTTTATTTATGGCAGATGAGAGGGAGGAAGGGAAAGAGGAGGTCGGAAGGGTTTTGAGGGTAGGTTATGAACTAGGATTGGAGAATAGCTATGCTACCGGGAGGTTAACTCAGATTTTAATGACAAGAATTCCTTAATTATATCAAGTGATGTTTTTCCATTGTGATTTTATACAGTTTCTATTGTTAAAATTTTTAATTTCAAGGTGCAATAATGAAATACATGGTTTGTGATAGTAGCAAATGTGAACAATAGCTCCGGTATTTAAAAAACTGCAAGTCCCCCCCTTGAGACCCAGTAGACTCTGAGCATCAGCCAGCATCATCCTGTGTAGTCAAATACTTGTACTTTTCACTGACCTTGGAGCCTTTAGTGTTTTTTTTCCCCTCCACCTTCTCCTATACCCCCTGATGTGCCTCTTTGCTTAATCAGGAGTGAAGCTGAACTTTCTGCCGCCCACTGCTTCTCAATGTATATGGATGGCTTTCTTTGAGTCGTGCCCAAAATAACATCTGATCTGAAAGCAACATTGGGAAATTAAACTGTCTATGAAAAGAAGAGTGAAAAATAAAAGCCAAGTCAAGCCCCTTGAAAGTTCAGGTTCAGCCCTAGAAAATATACGAAAGGTGATTAGGGCGAATCTATTTCTGGAAATTCCATTGCTCCAGCACAATGTATTGAACAGTAGGGGGATCCTTTTGTGTCTAATGCACACTCAGAGAGCGCTGCAACACTGTATCAGCCTTTTAAGCGGCAGGAGAGCAAAGCTGGTCTCAGCTGCCTTACACTAAAGTTAATTCATCACTTGAGAGTTTTCCCTAGTGTGATATACTATAGCACTACTCTGATTTTTTAAGGTCTGCTGGGTCTTGGCAGAGAAGCATTTAGAATTTGAAGTAATACATCTAAACTGATTCTGAAGTTTATTTCTTATAGTTTGGTTTATTTCTCTCCCTCACTAACTAATTTAATGAATGTACTTTTCCTTTAGGGACATTTCCCTGAATCAGGACATTCATATGCATGTTTTCCACACTCTAATGAGACTTTTTCTTAGGCCTACTGTGAGAGAAATAGGAGAAATCGTGACAGAACATCCAGCCCATGCCTACTAATGCAAACATAAGCAGTAATGTTGATGGGAGCTGCTGCTGCTGCTGCTCCTGAAATTACAACCTCCTCCTCCCCACCACAACTCATGCCTTAAATCCAGTATTGACAGCTAGGTGTGAAGCTGTACCGCAAGTCTCTTAGGGGGGAAAAACCCCTAATCTTATATTCCTCTCCTCAGGGCTTCTGGATTTGTGTGTACTCTGTTCTTTTCTATTCTTCCTATTTGCCCTTGGTTTAATTCCACAAGGGATGAGGATTCCATCAGATTCATCATAGTCAGACTCCAGCTCCTAATAAGTTCATCTGAACTTTTCTTTCTACAGGTATACGGAAGAATATATTAAGAAACTAAACTCTAGTAACTATCAGCTCAACTCAACAGAAAACAACAACCAAAAAAAAAAAAAAAATCATTTCATTTGGAATTATCTGGTGATTTCCAGGTGAAAGATTTCATTTTGCCTTGGACCATCAGAATAATTGCCTCATTTCTCCACTCTGCTTTGCTAGTGCCCTAGATGTTACTCTGAGCTTTGAAACCTTGTCTGGTTTCTTATTCCAGTGATTTGTGCTTCAAACGTTTCCTCCTCCCACCTTATTCTATTACTTGTAACCAAGGAAACTGATACATACTAAAACTTTCTGGTAAATGCACCTTCTGTCATTGTCTTTTTCACTGCTGGTGGTGGTTGTTTTTTTCTCTCCCTCTTCTCTGGATTTTATAGGGAACCACACTCCTTTGAAAGAGGAAACGACTGCTTCAGGATGAGGATGAGTGAATAGATTCTGGAAGTCCATGAAGTTGCCCTGGAATTATGTTGCAAAGAAACACTATTTTTCAGTCTGTTTTATACCTTAGTTGGAGTGGAGTAGTGGCAGGCAAATAGTCATAATATGTCAACTGAACTTGGGTGACATCTCTGAAAGCAACGGAAAAATATCACGGCTGGGTTTCCCTAAGTCTTTCGGGCATGTGCCATCAAATATAGTAGCTACTAGGCATTTTGTGGATATTTAAATTAAAAATGATTAAAATTAAATGCATTAAAAATTAAATTCCTCAGTCACACTGGCCATATTGCGAGTATGCAATAGCCACATGTGGCCAGGGGCTACTGCACTGGACAGCACTGATGTAGAACATTGCCATTGTGGCAGAAAGTCCTATGGACAGTCCTACTCCAGTCATCAGTTTGCCTAAGTTGTTTTCTAGCCAGAATTATGAGCCTCCCACATCACTGCCTCTGCAAATTCTAGTGGCCTTCCTGATGCTTGACTTACTCTTACCTCCATCATATACTGAAAGACTGCTCCACACTGCATTTTCTAGTTTTAAAATTTCTTGAACAGCAATGGTGAAGTTTAGAATACAATGATATGTAGTCACTATTCATGATTTATATGTTAACTCTAGAATTTTAACTATATTAAGAGCTTCCTGTGGACAAGAATCGTATTTTTCAATTTTATAGCTTTTTAGTGCCCTGCTTAACTCAAGGATCATTTTATTATTGCTACGTTTTCAAAGCATACTCCAGAACAAAGCTCAAGGATTTTGCAGGTGTCTTCTTCTAGACTATGGGCTCTTGTAAGATAACATTCATCATTTATTTATTGTTGTGTCCACAATGCCTGGCACATGGTAGGTTCTCAATAAACCTTAAAAAAGGGAGGGAGAATAATTTTATTTGATTTTTATAACAGTGCAAAATAGGTATTAATCTTCATTTTTATAAATTCAGAAATTGAGTTTCAGGAAAGTTCAATAATATTCATTTATTTATTTGCTTAGTAGAGATGAGGTCTTGCTCTGTTCCTCAGGCTGGAGTGTAGTGGCATGATCCAAGCTCACTGCAACCTCTGATTCCTGGACTCAGGAGATCCTCCTGCCTCAGGCTCCCAAGTAGCTGGGACTACAGGCGTGTGCCTCCACACTCAGTTAATTTTCACTTTTTTTTTGTAGAGACGAGGTCTTGCCATGTTGCCCAGGCTGGTCTTGAACTTCCGACCTCAAGCAATTCTCCCACCTCAGCCTCCCAAAGTGCTGGAATTATAGTTGTGATCCACAATGCCTGACCCAAGTTTAATAATTTAATGATGCACATAGCTTATAAGAATTGGATGTTTTGCACCTTTTTTCTCTACTTGGTATCTCATCCTTCTCTCCAGTACGATAACCTGGATTTTTTTCCATGGCAGCTCAAACATCTTTGAGGGAAGAAGGGGTCTGAGACATACCGAAATGCCACTTTCTCATCATTCTGATGCTCAGAGCAATAGATGATCCAGCACAGATTCAAGGGGTGATGGTATAAGTTTTGCCTTTGCATGCAGGAACAGCATGGGAAAACAGAGGAGGGAGAGGTTTCCGGGGGACACCTTTGGAGACTAGCTACCACATGGAGTCACTATCTCTAAAGGACATGAGTTTCCTGGGTACTGTGGTTCCTTTTGTAGTAATTCTCCTGTACCAGTGGAGGGTGTCCAGGTTCTTGGTATCTTGAACAAAGAGTTGGACAAAACACATGAACAAAGCAAGGAAAGACTGAAGCAACGAAAGCAGAGATTTATTGAAAACGAAAGTACACTCCATAGGATGGGAGCCGGTCCAAGCACAAGAGCTCAAGAGCCTGGTTATAGAATTTTCTGGGATTTAAATACCCTCTAGAGGTTTCCCATTGGTTACTTGGTGTGCACCCCAGGTAAATGAAGTAGTGTCCTGCAATCAGTCTGATTGGTTGTGGAAAGTGGTTGATCACAGGCTGAAGTGAAGTTCCAAAGTTATACCCTATGCAAACGTCTGGTTTTGGAAAGTGACCAATCAGAGGCTGAAGTGAAGTAACAAAGTTATACTCCCATGCAGATAAAGACTTGGCCTTCATGACCAGACTGTTTGGTTGTGGGAAGGGACCGATCAGAGGTACTTTCAGTTTTCCATCTGCCACACGGGAAAGGTGGAGGGGGGGCATGCAAAGGGAGTAGCGTCTGGTGTTTTTGTTACTTGGGCAGGAAAGTTGGGATTTTCCTTTAGATTTAGTTCTAGGAAGTCAGCATGAATTGGCCTTAGGCTCCCTGCCTTCAGATCCTATTCTCCTGCCTCACTCCCACCTTAAAGCATCCTTCTGTGAGATGGGAAAGCTTTCAATGCAAAGCTGTAAGCTGCTGGAACATTCCCATGATAAAAAGTTACCTGGGTTTGATTTTTAGAATAAGTAGATCTCTGAAAAACCTGGGATGGCCTCTTATTCCAGCAAGAGGCAACTATGGTTGTCAGCAGGCTATGCAAGGGACTGACGCTCTTTTCTTTCATGAGGATGCTTGTATTTCCCAACCCGAGGCCTTTTGAGTAAGTGCTCCAATGCTGGGGTTCTGATAGCTAGAATTCTTGCCTGTAAGGTAAAGACCCTGAAACTGTGAAGCTGAGACACTTGCATCTTCCTTCCAAAGTGAAAACAAACAAGTGAAGGCAAAGGCAGGAAAGGCATTTCCCCGCAAAGGATTCTTTTGGCTGCCTTCCACACCCCACTCAGCAACTTCACACTTTTACAACCGAATAATGTCTTTTTCATACATGATCATCCTTTATAGTGAGCTGGGCTGTTATAGTTGTGTGAATTACTCATGTTGGAAATAAGAAATAACGCTTTAAAGAAAATCTTCTGTGTTTACCGGGGTAATATCCTAAGCAATTCCTTTGAAAGAGAGAGATGTAACATGGAGGCTTGTGGATGTTTTTCTGCTTGTTGCTGTCAGAGAAGAATGCTGCTTTAGGGCCCCAAAAGGAGCAGTCAACATGGAAAAATGGAAGACAATAGAAGACTTGAATTCAGTTCAGCTTCTGTCAGCTGAATTGTATTTTGGGGAGCAATTAATTATTCAACACAATGGGTGTTTTTAACAGCCCTCCCCCTCTCCACCCCACCCATGTGAGTGTGTGTGTGTGTTTCTATCTCAAGTTTCTCTGGTAAAAAAGAAAAGTACAAAAGCAGCTGAGCAAAGAATACTTTCAGGAAACCCAAAGTGAAGCTAAAGTAACTGAACCAGGCTCAGTTTAAAGTCTGGCTGTGTCAATTCCTCAATGATGTAGTGAGCACGGCTGTCTTTTCTGCAAGCTCCCTTGATCCTGTACTCCACTGTAGCTAGAAAGATGTTATGGCCTTGACTGGAAAAACAAAGATCTGAAAAAAGACAGCCCCAAGTGGGCAAGCCTTGGTTCTGAATTATTCATCATTCTGAGAGCAAGTAAGGACTGGGATTTAGATAGTAGTGTTCTGTATAGCCCTGCTCTGATGTAATTCACTTTGCAGCAGAATTTAGAAATTACTGGAGGTCTCAGAATGATTCGGTTAAACCTCTGTTCTGTTTACTATTGTATAGCAGTCTATCACAAACTTAGTGATATAAAATAACAATTTCATTATGCCCTCAAATTCTCTGGGTTGGCAATCTAATAAGGGCATGGTGGAAACAGATTTCTTTGCTTCATGATGTCTGGACATTCAACTGGGAAAACTCAAATGGCTGGGAGCTGGACAATCCACTTCCAAAGGTGGCTTCTTCCCTTGCACGTCTGGATGTTGGTGCTGGCTTTTGGCTGGAACCTTGGCTATGTAGCCCAACTTGAGCATCTGTGTGCAGACTTTCCATGTTGCAGAGCTTGCCTTCCTGCTAAGCATGGAGGCCTTAGGGTAACTGGACTTTTTATAGGCAGGCTCAGAGCTTTAAATGTGAGTGTTTTACTGAAGAAAGCAGAAACCGTGTCATCTTTTATGACCTATCCTCAGAAGTCACAGAGTGTCACTGTTATTCATCGAAGCAGTCATAGGCCATCAAAATTTGAGAGGAAGGAACATAGTTTCCACCTTTTAATGAGTTCGTGGTAAGGTTACAATGTGGAAGAGCATGAGAAATGGGAGATATTATTGTGGCCACTTTCAAAAATGCAATTGTCTATGTTTCTGTTTACCTAGAGCAGGGCTTAGGAATCAGTGTTACAACTTGCCAGGAGAGTCATATCCACCTACCAGTTACTCAGATTCATACTCTGTACAAGATAGTGGACCAATGAGCTCATGTCTCATGGATGTGGAAGACTGTATGTATCTCCCTCTCATAACAGAGGCACATGAACACAAGCCATTGAATCCGGTGTGGCTTTTGACACACCTAAGCCTGGATAATATATGCTATAAAATCAGTATACCTTGTTCAACTTAATTTTCATATATCCAGTAAATAACCAGTAAAGTATGTAACTTTAAAATAATATTAAATATTGACACACACGTGCATGTATGTGTGTATGTGTGTGTAGAAAAATCTAGAAATAAATGTAACAAAAGACATGCAGCACCTTTATGGAGAAAAATATAAAACTTTGTTGAGATACATTATAGAGGACTTCTTAATGAAGAGATACATTTTCAAAGATTAGGGTTTCAGTATAGTCAGCATGTTTGCGTTCCTCAAATTGGTCTATATATTCAATGTGTTCCAGTCAAAATCCCAACAGTGCTTTGGTTTTGTTGCATTTTTGTTTTGGTAATCTAATTTCCCTTTGTTTTGGTTAGTCAAGAACTTTTTCTGTTACTTGTCACCGAAGAACCCTAACTCACAAAATGGTTTAATTTATAGTTTATTCTCTCTTTCCTCAACCCTATCCTGTCGATGGGGATAGCATTTTGATACAGGCACACAAATGGCATAAGAGAAGTAAACAAATGTGACTTTTTGCCATTCTACCAGATGAGGAGTGGTCACGGGTTTAAACCAGGGCTTCAGTGGCTCTAGCTCAGTTTTATCAGTGTCTCTAAGGTTGCTACCAATGCAATTCAAGTACTCCAAAATGACTTTTTTTCACTTCACAATTATTCATCATTTATTCATTGTTATTCCCCAATTAATGATTTAGTGCCAACTGTGAGAGAGGTGCTATGCTAAGTGCTGGAGATAAAATGGGGTAACAACATCAGCTACAACAACAATAAAAACGTGATTTCTGCCCTGAGGGAATTAACATTCTAGGAAGGGAGACAAATATAAATACTTAAATAATCACAAGACAATTTTATTTCATTTTTAAATTGACTAATAAAAATTATACATATTTATTGTGCACAGAAAGTTGTTTTAAAATATGTATACATTTGGACTGGCTAAATTGATCTAATTAACATACATACTACCTCTCATACTTATCTTTTTTTGTAGTGAGAATACTTAAAATCTACTTTCTTAGCAATTTTCAAGAATATAATATACTTTAGCCATCATCTTATACTACAGATCTCTTGAACTTATTTCTAAGTGAAATTTTGTGTCCTTTATCAACATCTCCCCAATCTCACCCCCTGTCCCATAGTAATAAAATAATTTCAGATTGTGGTAACTGCTACGATGGAGATAACATGAATGCTGTTTATCTAACTGGATGCAACCACATAGCTAAGATGCTAAAAATTTTCAAAGTATGCATCTATACATTCTTAGAAGAATGTCAAGTTATCTTGCAAGCACTTATCTTTCAACAGGATTCACAATATTTATAATCAGACTATTTTATATTGGTTTCTCTTAGACAGCACAAAAAAATTTTGTCTTCACTCATCTATCATATTTCCTACGTTCTCCTTATTAACAGAACTAATTTATTCTGTTAAATGACAAGTAAGAAAGTATCTGAGCCTGAAGTGCTGTGAAGATAACTCAATCTTTGGGAGTAGATTAGATTTAGAGGGAGTAATTTAAAAAACATAAATTTAATGACTTTTTGGGAAAATGGAATAAAAATTTTAAAGTATTGTGACTAGTAAGTAAATACCATTTTAGCTTCAGTAAAAATTTAAAGTATTTTGATACAATTCTTTTACAACTAACTGCTCCCTCTATAGCCCATATGACTCTTACCTCATTCTCCATCACTTTCCACTATGAACTCTGGACAGATTGAACTTTTTATTCTTCTGCAATGTAAATAATACATTCTTATTTTTTTCTTCCTTGAATGTCCTATTCTTTTGTTGTAATTTAGGAATGGATTCTCATAGAGAATCTATCCACCTTCCAAAATCTTGTGAGAATTTCTCCTGTGGCCAATGCTAACCTAGAACCATACACAGAAGGGAATTCTAATTCTAGCTCCATGGAGATGAAACTGTGTCAAACCACCACACAACATGTTTTCAGTGCACTTAGTATTGTTAGGTATTCTACCAAACACTGTGTACACACACTAATAATTCAGTTAGAGAATTAATTTGCTAGTAATTTTCTAGAAACATGAATTACCTAGGCCAGAGTTTGTTTCTTTCAGCCAGTGGCTGAATTCCCTACATAGTTAAATTATCTCAAGGGAGCCAGTGGCTGGGGTTGTAGCAACATCCAGAAGGTTTGTAAGTGGTAGGTAAGTGTATGAGCCTTCTAGACATCACATGAAGTATTTGAGAGAGCTGACTAGTAGTCCCCCAGCTGTGTTCTTTCCTTGGACTATTGAAGTCTTCCCCTTTTAAGTCTTGCATTTAATCAACCAATATTTACTGAATAGTACCCTGTCTATTCCAGGCCCTGTGCTGAGGGTGATGGGGACAAGGGTGTCACAGATTAGGTTCCCTGGGAAGCAAACTCTGAGACAGATGTTAGTGTGTAGGAGGTATATTGGGGAGTGCTCACGGGGTCAGCACCTGTGGAAGAGAAGGTAAGGAAGCTGGATGGGGTAGATGGAGAGGTTAAACTGTGATGCAGTTTCAATGGAAGCCTCAGGCAACCATACGAGGAGTTTAGAAGAATGAAGAATGACCTTTCAGAGCTGTTCTGCACTGGGGCAAGAAAGGCTGGGCCTTCATACATCTGCATCAATATTGGCCACTCCTAGGAGGGGGTGCAACCTTGGGCAAAGTGACTTTTTTCAGTTTTAAGCTTTTTGCAGTCCCCAAAGCTGCTGGTAACAGAGGGCTCTCCTCCAGCAGCTCTCCCAGAAACTACAGTACTAAGTTCTTTATTCTTTTTTTCCCTCAAATTCTGCCAAGTCCCAGGATAAGTCCTTTTTTCTTAAAGGGAGATCTGGGGAGCATATCACAGCATCCACCATAAATGGTGGCCAGAAAATCAAGTGTCTAGTAGAGGCGATGAGTAAAAATCTAATTCCAATGTTGTGTGATAGGGACTACAATAAGAGTGAGTGTCTCATAGCAGAAGAATTTAATGTAGTTTAGAGAGGAAAAAGGAGTAGCAGATAAATTCTGAAAGATTATTGGAAATTAGAGAGACAAATGTGAATGAAGAGGGCAGACTGGAAAGCTAGGAGGTTAGAAAGTAAGTAATGCTTAGGGAACAACTTCCAAACTGGATTCTTAGAGTACGGTTAGATATTCTAAAAGAATTAAGGTATAAACTGAGATATGAGGGATAAGCAAAGCCAGTCAGGTGAAAGGAGTGTGTATGGGTTAGGGGTGAGTAGGAGAGTGGGGCATTATAGACAAGAGAGCTTATGAGAAGGCTTGAAAGGAGGAAGTGAAGGAGGGAGAAAGAGGGGGAGGGAGGGAGGGGAAGAGAGAAAAGGAGTTGAGTAATTGAAGGAGGCTCCAGTTTGGCTGGAGAGTGGACTTTGACCATGAAGGTTTTTGTGTACTGTGTAAACAAGTTTAAACTTTATCTCGGGTGCAGTGGGAAAGCTCTGAAAGATTATAAACAGAAGAATGACATAATCACTTTTGCTGTCATCTGTCATTTATCTCAGCATACCTCATTATTATTTATTCTCTTAAGGTTTATGTATGGCACCACTTAGGTACAATTGAATCTGAAATAATTTCATTTTCACATCGTGTCACATAGCTACCGTGTTGTATCAGTCAGGCCTTGACCTAGAATAAGAAATGTATTTTGGGGTTAGACCTTAAGTAAGTGTGTGAGCTGGTGGGACAGGCTATGCGGGCTGTTGTGTTTCTAATCTTTACCTGTCAGTTGCTATGGTTCAGCTAGACCTATGATCAGGAAGAAAGGCTGGATGTGAATGACAGCAAGGACAAATGGGAACTCAGAAAGATGAACTAGAACCCACGACTGTTTCTTACCACCTCCAATTTTGACAATGTGGGTGACTGTAGGAGAAGCTGACACGCTTCACTGTGGAGCGGCACGTGCATCTGGCCCAGGTCCTGGAGAAGCTAAAGGAGGAGGAGATACAGTGGGAGCTGGAGAAGCTGCAGATCTACGCACTTCTCTACGCCAGCCAAATGGGGCAGAGGTCAGTGACGATGTGTGTGGGCTGCCACAGTGCCTGCTGCTCTGCACTTACCTTCAAAGGGCAATGGCTGCTGCTTCACTCCCACCTTCCAAAGCTCGTGAGAATTTCTCTTGTGGCCAGTGCTAGCTTAGAACCATACACAGAAAGGAATTCTGGGAGGCATAATTCTAGCTCCAGTGAGTTGAAACTGTGCCAAAACCACCACGTATGTTTTCAGTACCCTTAGGACTATTAGGTATTCTACTAAACACTGTGTACACATGCACACATTATATATATATAAAAATTATAAACTATAGACATATATATACATATATACACATGTGTATATATATAGTTTAATTATTTCAACATATACTGAAGGAATATAAACCTCATTTTATAGATAGGAAAAGAGATAGACTGAATGACTTGCTTTAGTAAGAAGGAAAATTGGCATTTACATTTATTGGTCTAATTCACAACCTATAATTTCACTCGCTATGAAAAATAGCCTTCTCTGCCAAGTATTATAGAAAGGTAGACAGATATACATATTAAAAACACCATTTTTGCCAACATAGCATATTTTGATAAATCTAGCCCTAAAATGAAAAGAGTTAATGCACACTGATCCTTGCTAATGACTTTTGATGCTTGATACTATGATCTGTCTTTGGCACTCTCACAGTCGTCTGGCAGCTCCTCCATCACTGCTGTCATAGGGGAACTGTGGCTTTAACTGTCTTCCTAATTTTCTGAGGCTTACAGAACATTTTAACCATGGATATCCAGATCTGGGATATACATATCTATTATCATCAACCAAAGCCTAAAGTCCTCTAATGACTGCATCTTAAATTGTGAAGCCTCTCCTGATTGAACACCTGTGAACACCTTATTACCACTGGGAGAGATCATTACTGTGACGGGGAATCTTGAAGATCTAGAATCTGGGGAAAGAGGAGAGGTACTCCATACTAGGCTTTTCCACTTCAGTTTGCTTCTGTCACTTTCAGCTGCTAGTTTCTGCATCTCTTTACCTCCTTCTCCAAGTCAGGTGGATCTCTGCCTGAGTACGCAGAAGAACTCAAATAGCAGGGAATTAATTCCACTAGGAGCAACCCTCAGTCAGTGAGTGGTGAGAGATGGTATAAAATACGCCAGTTCACCCTCAGCTGGGATAAATCTGGAGCATATGATTTTATGATTTCACATGATTTTCCAGAATTTTCTTGTGGGCTTAAACTCCAGTCACTCACCATGTTAACTTAATAAAATAAGTAGTTTTACTGACTGCCTTTTCTTCCCTGACCTCCTTCCATGCTTCTATACAGGTATTTCCTACACTTTCCAAATAAACTATTTGTACTTGAATCTTTGACTCAGATCCTGCTTCTGTGGAAATCCAAACTAAGAGAAGAGAGAAGGATATGGAAGGGAGATGAAAAATGTGGAACATGGGATAATAGAGGGAAAGAACTAGAGAGAGAAACTGGAGAGAAAAAAGGAACTGGGTTGGAGGGAGAAGCTCCTGGGATTCTGAGGGACAAGAAAAAGGTTGTTTCCCTAATCTGAAAATAAAACTGCTTGGTGAGTCCCTTACATAGACCTGCACATAAATCACATCTGTGATGAAATCAAAATCAGCACTGTAGGAACTCAGGGGCAGAAGACATACTCATCTATCAGAATCATTGAAGGCCCCCAGTCCATTTTATAGCAAAGCTTAAATGGCACAAGAGACCTTTTATAAGAAAAGTTCAGTTTCATAAATGTACTGTCTATGTATTCATCCCAAGTCTGATTTTTCATTTTTTCCCTCTTTCCACTTGCATATCGAGAGAGAATCAGGAATTTTTCTGACTTTGTGACCCATCTTTTTCCTTTTAGATTTTGAAGTAGTCAAAATCTGGGCTGTATTTATGATAAGCAGTGCCTGTAATATGACTTGACATTTTCCAAAGTGTAATAAAAATTCATGCCAAATGCACTGACAACTAATTTCAGACTGAGTTTTTTATTGAGTAGCTCAGGAAATAAATAGTAAACATCTGAAGTATCATTTAGTTAGTGAATAAACCTCTAGTTGTATACAGTAACTTCCCCTGCCAGAGGACTCGCCTGGAGTTGTATCTGGGTTTTCTTTCTTTCTTTCTTTTTTTTTTTTCCTTTTTTTCTTTTTTTTTTATTATTATACTTTGAGTTCTAGGGTACATGTGCATAACGTGCAGGTTTGTTACATATGTATATTTGTGCCATGTTGGTGTGCTGCAGCCATCAACTCGTCAGCACCCATCAACTCGTCATTTACATCAGGTATAACTCCCAATGCAATCCCTCCCCCCTCCCACCTCCCCACGATGGGCCCCGGTGTGTGATGTTCCCCTTCCCGAGTCCAAGTGATCTCATTGTTCAATTCCCACCTATGAGTGAGAACATGCGGTGTTTGGTTTTCTGTTCTTGTGATAGTTTGCTAAGAATGATGGTTTCCAGCTGCATCCATGTCCCTACAAAGGACACAAACTCATCCTTTTTTATGGCTGCATAGTATTCCATAGTGTATATGTGCCACATTTTCTTAATCCAGTCTGTCACTGATGGACATTTGGGTTGATTCCAAGTCTTTGCTATTGTGAATAGTGCCGCAATAAACATATGTGTGCATGTGTCTTTATAGCAGCATGATTTATAATCCTTTGGGTATATACCCAGTAATGGGATGGCTGGGTCATATGGTACATCTAGTTCTAGATCCTTGAGGAATCGCCATACTGTTTTCCATAATGGTTGAACTAGTTTACAATCCCACCAACAGTGTAAAAGTGTTCCTATTTCTCCACATCCTCTCCAGCACCTGTTGTTTCCTGACTTTTTAATGATCGCCATTCTGACTGGTGTGAGACGGTATCTCATTGTGGTTTTGATTTGCATTTCTCCGATGGCCAGTGATGATGAGCATTTTTTCATGTGTCTGTTGGCTGTATGAATGTCTTCTTTTGAGAAATGTCCGTTCATATCCTTTGCCCACTTTTTGATGGGGTTGTTTGTTTTTTTCTTGTAAATGTGTTTGAGTTCTTTGTAGGTTCTGGATATTAGCCCTTTGTCAGATGAGTAGATTGCAAAAATGTTCTCCCATTCTGTAGGTTGCCTGTTCACTCTGATGGTAGTTTCTTTTGCAGTGCAGAAGCTCTTTAGTTTAATTAGATCCCATTTGTCAATTTTGGCTTTTGGTGCCATTGCTTTTGGTGTTTTAGACATGAAGTCTTTGCCCATGCCTATGTCCTGAATGGTACTACCTAGGTTTTCCTCTAGGATTTTTATGGTATTAGGTCTAACATTTAAGTCTCTAATCCATCTTGAATTAATTTTCGTATAAGCAGTAAGGAAAGGATCCAGTTTCAGCTTTCTACTTATGGCTAGCCAATTTTCCCAGCACCATTTATTAAATAGGGAATCCTTTCTCCATTTCTTGTTTCTCTCAGGTTTGTCAAAGATCAGATGGCTGTAGATGTGTGGTATTATTTCTGAGGACTCTGTTCTGTTCCATTGGTCTATATCTCTGTTTTGGTACCAGTACCATGCTGTTTTGGTTTCTGTAGCCTTGTAGTATAGTTTGAAGTCAGGTAGCATGATGCCTCCAGCTTTGCTCTTTTGACTTAGGATTGTCTTGGAGATGCGGGGTCTTTTTTGGTTCCATATGAACTTTAAAGCAGTTTTTTTCCAATTCTGTGAAGAAACTCATTGGTAGCTTGATGGGGATGGCATTGAATCTATAAATAACCTTGGGCAGTATGGCCATTTTCACGATATTGATTCTTCCTGTCCATGAGCATGGTATGTTCTTCCATTTGTTTGTGTCCTCTTTTATTTCACTGAGCAGTGGTTTGTAGTTCTCCTTGAAGAGGTCCTTTACATCCCTTATAAGTTGGATTCCTAGGTATTTTATTCTCTTTGAAGCAATTGTGAATGGAAGTTCATTCATGATTTGGCTCTCTGTTTGTCTGTTACTGGTGTATAAGAATGCTTGTGATTTTTGCACATTAATTTTGTATCCTGAGACTTTGCTGAAGTTGCTTATCAGCTTAAGGAGATTTTGGGCAGAGACAATGGAGTTTTCTAAATATACAATCATGTCATCCGCAAAGAGGGACAATTTGACTTCTTCATTTCCTAACTGAATACCCTTGATTTCTTTCTCTTGCCTGATTGCCCTAGCCAGAACTTCCAACACTATGTTGAATAGGAGTTGTGAGAGAGGGCGTCCCTGTCTTGTGCCAGTTTTCAAAGGGAATTTTTCCAGTTTTTGCCCATTCAGTATGATATTGGCTGTGGGTTTGTCATAAATAGCTCTTATTATTTTGAGGTACGTTCCATCAATACCAAATTTATTGAGCGTTTTTAGCATGAAGGGCTGTTGAATTTTGTCAAAAGCCTTTTCTGCCTCTATTGAGATAATCATGTGGTTCTTGTCTTTGGTTCTGTTTATATGCTGGATTATGTTTATTGATTTGCGAATGTTGAACCAGCCTTGAATCCCAGGGATGAAGCCCACTTGATCATGGTGGGTAAGCTTTTTGATGTGTTGCTGAATCCGGTTTGCCAGTATTTTATTGAGGATTTTTGCATCGATGTTCATCAGGGATATTGGTCTAAAATTCTCTTTTTTTGTTGTGTCTCTGCCAGGCTTTGGTATCAGGATGATGTTGGCCTCATAAAATGAGTTAGGGAGGATTCCCTCTTTTTCTATTGACTGGAATAGTTTCAGAAGGAATGGTACCAGCTCCTCCTTGTACCTCTGGTAGAATTCGGCTGTGAATCCATCTGGTCCTGGACTTTTTTTGGTTGGTAGGCTATTAATTATTGCCTCAATTTCAGAGCCTGCTATTGGTCTATTCAGGGATTCAACTTCTTCCTGGTTTAGTCTTGGAAGAGTGTAAGTGTCCAGGAAATTATCCATTTCTTCTAGATTTTCCAATTTATTTGCATAGAGGTGTTTATAGTATTCTCTGATGGTAGTT